AGTTTTCTGTTAAAGATCGTTTAGTTTATTCTTATAAATCATTGAGTTAACTATTTAAGATAATTTGTTTTGTTCATAAAGATCATTTAGTTCGGTCTTAAAGATCGCTTAGATAGTTCTGAAAGATCGCTTAGTTTGTTTTAAAGATCGTTTAGTTTGTTGATAAATGTCCTTTAATTTGTTGTTAAATATCGTTTAGTTTGTTCTCAAAACCGCTTAATTTGTTCTTAAATGTCGCTTCGTTTGTTGTTAAATATCGCTTTCGCTGAGTATTAAATGACCGAAAACCTCAGTTACTTTCGGCCGGATAGTCTAAGTCAATTTCGGCCGAAACCGAAGAAAAACCGAAAGTTAACTTTTCTCTTTCGGCTGAAACCGAAACTTGGCCGAAAGTGATAAAATGGCAACTTTCGGCAACGAAACCGAAGCCGAAGCCGAAATTCGGTCGGTCTCTAGTTGCATGTACGATAAATAAATTAGCGAAATGTGTTTATCCAACTACCCAACATTTAAAAAATGTGAAAGTTTGTGCGAGAAAAGGTTGGCATCACTTAAATTGAGTGCGTTTGTCAATGTAGTTTTTAGTGTGTTTATATGTGTATTAATTTAATGTATTTATAAATGTATTTTTAGTGTGTTTAAAAATATATTCATTTTTTGTAAAATTTAGTTAGGAACATTGTCATCAAGTCAATATTTTCTCACAGCGTGGAGACACCAAATCCCAACCATAACTGTAAAGGTGATACCAGTATTTATGCATGGTCATTCCCGCACTACTAGCTTATCTCAAGTTCTATAACTATATGAAGGTTAGCTAACATATGACATGTTTATGACCGTACTACTAGTTGATCTGTGTTTTTATAACTTTTGGAAACAGTCAGCTAACATATGACATGTTCATTCCGGTAATACTAGTTGATCAGGGTTTCCATAACAATATGAAGATGGCTAACATATGACATATTCTAAACTTATGTTGCGCACAGTGGTGTAGCTAGAGTTCGTGTCATCCAGTGAGGTAAATCCAAGGTGTCAGCCCCCTCTTCCACGACTTCCATCACTAATTTCTTCTTTTTAAAAGAAGTCCTCATTATTAAAATAAAAACAACAACAAAAAATCAACAAACAAATTATTTGAAGTTTACGAGGTAAATGTACTTAGGAACTTGAACATTTACTTAAAAACGCCCGCCCACGACGTATTCGGTTTAAATAGAAAGCCTTTATTTCTCAGAATTTAGATAAATATAACTTCCGGTCACGCACGAAAGTTACCGATAATTTCAAACGGTGTTTTTCTGGCCCAATTATAGGGTCAGCTCATTAATGACGTATCAACCTTGAACTTTTAATAAAGCACGCATATGGATTGTTGAAATTTATGGAAAATGTAAATGGGATAGGTTATTTTTTTGTGAAATTCAGTTAGACCGAGCAGTGTGGGATCTGTAAATATGCATTTTTGCAATTTTGTATCACCCCCCCCCTCTCCTTGAGATGGTGTCACCCGTGCCCCCACCTAGCTACCCTACTGGTTACGTGTAAAAGTCAACAGAGCCATTAAACCAGTTACTAAAACGAAAGAAAAAAAGCCACGACGGTAATGATACTGGCACAGCTGTTCCTACTTCGTGGTAAACTTATCACTATTTGTAGTTATAGCAGGGATTTTTATCACTATTTGTAGTTATAGCAGGGATTTTTATCACTATTTGTAGTTATAGCAGGGATTTTTATCACTATTTGTAGTTATAGCAGGGATTTTTATCACTATTTGTAGTTATAGCAGGGATTTTTATCACTATTTGTAGTTATAGCAGGGATTTTTATCACTATTTGTAGTTATAGCAGGGATTTGGTGCAGGCTGGTTTTGGACCCAGATCAGCCACAGAACATTTTTTTTCCAGCTCCAATCCGAGCTCCGGCAGAATTAAATAAGGCAGCGGGGTTATTGAGTAAAAGGGGAGGGGGGGGAGGGGGTAGCTGAATAGTGAATATTGTTGTTTCTAACTTAACGAATTAATTATACAAAATAAAAAAAAAACTGTATCAGCAACATAGCTTGGGGAAGAATGGGGCAACATAGCTTGGGGAAAAAGGGGCAACATAGTGGGGAAAGAGTGGGGCATCATAGCTTGGGGAAGAAAGGGGCCACATAGCGGGGGAAGAGTGGTGCAACATAGCTTGGGGAAGAAGGGGCAACATAGTGTGGGAAGAATTGGGCAACATATCTTGGGGAAGAATGGGGCAACATAGCGGGGGAAGAGTGGGGCAACATAGCATGGGGAAGAAGGGGCAACATAGTGGAGTGCAACATAGCTTGGGGAAGAAGGGGCAACATAGTGTGGGAAGAATTGGGCAACATATCTTGGGGAAGAATGGGGCAACATAGCGGGGGAAGAGTGGGGCAACATAGCTTGGGGAAGAAGGGGCAACATAGTGGGGGAAGAGTGGGGCAACATAGCTTGGGGAAGAAGTGCAACATAGTGGAGAAAGAGTGGGGCAACATAGCTTGGGGAAGAAAGGGGCAACAGAGCTTGGGGAGGAGCGGGGCAACATATCTGGGAGGAAAATGTAACTTTTCGGTTTATAACTAGTAGAAAAATTGAACAGCATAGCTAGTGGGGAAACATAGTTGTAAAAGAAAAGAGAAGCATTTACATTTTAAAAAAAACAATTTGGCAAGATAGCTTATAGAAAAGGGGGATTGTAGCAGTTAGAATATTATGGCAACATAGCTGTAGAAAAATGGGCAGCATAGTTGTAAGGAAATGGGGCAACATAGCCGGTAGAACAGTGGGACATCAAAGTTAATAGCAGATTGGGGAAACGTAGCTGTTATAAATTTGGAGCAAATTTACTGGTAAATCTGCGGCTGCAACATAGTTGGTGGAATTCTGTGTGCAACATAGCTGTAAAAGAATAAAGTAGCATAGGTGGTTGTTGTTCGTCCGTCGAAGTCGACAAGGACCATCGAATCATCCGGTTAGGGGCGGGCGGGGGGGTTGGGGTTACGGTTAGCTCTTAGGTGGCTTGTTAGACCGATCCTTGCTCGGAATAATCTATGACACGGTGGGCATGGAATAGTTGCTTCAGACGATGACCTAATGTTGCTCTTTCGGACAAAAGCGTGTCTCAGCTCTGGTTATTCTCTTAGCTTCATGGGATTTAGCCCCCTTCTTGACAGCAGCTCTCCACCTGGCTCTGTTCGGGGCTGTCCGCACCCATTGGTTTATGCTGAAGGCCTTTAGTGCCACTTTCAGTGAGTCTTTGTAACGCTTTCTTTGGCCTCCTTGGGAGCGCTTCCCTATCGTGAGGTCTCCAAAGAATATTTGTTTCGGGAGCCGGTGGTCTGCCATCCGGGCCACGTGTCCCATCCAACGGAGCTGAGACTGCATCAGAGTGGTGAAGATAGGTGGTAGATAAGCAGAATCGACTCAAATCCAAATAGAGCCACACAACAACAGAAAACAGCGTTTGTCCTATGATGTGGAGACATTTTCCAGGCACAAATAGGACCGCCTAGTTACCTGTGCACTTACAGTTGAACAACGAAGCCAACGAACCTTTTAAGTAAGACCCGGTTCGTAACCCTGCATCTTATTGTAATGATTTCATGGCTCATACCGTCCTTCTGACATTCTTAATTATATTTTTTGTAAGGATAGCAGAGAAGGTAAAAATTAAATATTTGTATCACATAGTCAGATGAATATAAGAGTTGGGGAGATGAGAAAAACTAGTTTACTTCATAGTGCACTTAAGATACGTTCCTTTTTGGTGTGGGCTGGTGTGCAGTTAGTGTGCAGTTAGTGTGCAGTTAGTGTGCAGTTAGTGTGCAGTTAATGTGCAGTTAGTGTGCAGTTAGTGTGCAGTTAGTGTGCAGTTAGTTAAAGACAGGCATAATACAAAATTTAAAAAGACTTGTTTAATGTTACTTTACAAATTTTGGCGTTATCTTTTCACTGGATATGACAGTAAAATTAATATATTTTAGAAGTACCTATCAGGTATGTTTATAAGTGTGCATAAAGTATACTAAGTATTTTAAAGAAACTTTTATTGACGTGAAAGATTTCAATTTGGGACAATTAAATATGTGCTAAATTTAGAGAGAGAGATTAAATTATGTACACCAACTTTCATGTGTACAAACTTCAAAACAAGAAAAAATATTTAAAAATAACTAAGAATCGGGGTTACTTTGGTGTACCCGGCTAAATCTCCTCTTTGACAACATTTTTCTCCAACGTAACATAACGGACGAATCAACTATTATTAGCTTCACACCATCGTCATGTCAACTATGGTAAGGTTCACACCATCGTCATTTCAACTATTGTAAGGTTCACACCATCGTCATGTCAACTATTGTAAGGTTCACACCATCGTCATTTCAACTATTGTAAGGTTCACACCATCGTCATTTCAACTATTGTAAGGTTCACACCATCGTCATGTCAACTATTGTAAGGTTCAAACCATCGTCATATCTACTATTGTTAGCTTCACACCATCGTCATGTCAACTATTGTTAGCGTTGCATCACGTACCAGTATTAATATTTATAGAAAACAAAAGGAAATCTAGATAATTTTACTTTAATTAAACCATACAACCAACATTCTGCTTGGGACAAAAGTCAATAATAGTCAAATACAATCTGAAAATGGAGTAAAAAAATGAGATTTTTTTTTTCTTATTTTAATTTGAGCTATACGGACAGAATGCAAGCCTTGGCTTCAAAGTTTCTGTAGCACAGTATACGTTTATTGTTTAAAATATATTTTGTTATAATGTTAGAACCCCCAAAAATTTGAGAACTATCTACTATTATATTCAGTAAACCTTCAACACATTCTGATGACTTCAGTAAATAATCAATTATTTTCCCTAATGGTATCCTTTTATCTGTGTGTGAACTTTAAGCGTAAATCATGCCGTAACTGTACACAAGTGATTAACGCAGTAGTTTAGTGCCGACCTATTTGAGCAATCATACAACATCTGGCAGGCCTGAGCACTGTGTGTGGGGACGATCAAAAAAGGGGGTGGGGGTGATTTGATGACATTAAAAGCCTGGGGTCTTGTTGGAATTGAAGCAGTTCGCTTGTTTATCATCTCTGAGCCTGTGGTCTCCAGATTTTTGTGTCAAGTTTCCAAATTAAGGTTTGTTCTATTGTTGGATAAACGAAAACCTTTTTGAAGAGATCACATAATTTTCTTACAACAAAAAAATCATTTTCCAATTTCATTTTAAAGGTCTTTTTCAAAATTATAATATTCGCCTAAAGCGTAATATGTGTAAATAACAGAACCATTATTTCAAAAAAATATTTTTGTTTGTTACAGTCTATAAATGCTTTGACTGTCTGTAACAAATACACATTTTGATTTAGGAAATAATAAAACAATGCTAACAAGTTCAATTTTTACTCACATTACTTGACTAGGGCCTGCATAATTATTTCATCTGTTAAGTTTGTGTCTCACATTAATTGAATTGGGACTGCATGATTATTTCATGTAATTTTATTTTTCTCTTTGCTTAACTTAAATTAACTTAAGTGAATTATTTTTTTGTAGCAGAAACACTGTACAAGATAACCTGTATATATGAAGAACTCATTCGATACTACTGTTATAGCGTTATATTTTTTTTAAAATGAACGTGGAGTTACAGTGGAGTATGTATAGAGTCAGCAATCTATCCAATTGTTCATGATGCAGTCCCAGATTGAAACGTCTGAATCGTGTATCTATTTTGGGCTATCCGTGGCGTTTAAATAACAAACAGACAAAAATAATTCCTTTTTCTCTTTTCTTATGCAGGCAGTAGAATGAAATTGTTTCTTACTACCTTTGCTTTGTCGGTCTTCTGTATCAGTGCTACCTTAGGGGAGTCGGAAGTCAATACTAGGTCATCCTGTCGCATCAATGGTGAGGTGAGTAGAAAATAATGTCTTATAAATTGTCAGATGAGTAGCAAATAATACGTCTTATAAATTGTCAGATGAGTAGCAAATAATACGTCTTATAACATGTTAGGTGATTAGTAAATAAGATGTCTACTAACAGGCTTTTAACTTGTGAGGTGAAAACATGTAACATGTTGTGTCCTTTCTATAAAAAAATTAAAAAATTATCATGTTATGAATAATAACTTTACGTCATTATAAAATCATTTTTTCATTTAATTAATGTGTTTTCATTAATACGACATAGTATCATTAGTTATGTGATTTTGTTAACATTTGAGCTATCGTGTTATCCTCAATGGCCTAAAGGAATAAGTCATTGAGTTTTTAAAAATCTTTCATCATTGATTAAAAAAAATGATAATAATAAAATTACCGATGAATTAAATGATTAAGTCTTAGCTATCATTTCTTCATATTCTTATATTGAAACATTTTGATGATGCCCCTGTTAAGCGCATTAATGAAGGAGAAACTGTTGGGAGACGTCTTGATGGCTGCAACAACTGTTTCTGTTCATCTTATGGCTTTGGCTGTACGCTGATGGCCTGTCCATGGTACGAAGCACTGGACTGTGAGTTTGAGGGACAGGTAAGCAAATGTGTCTATAATTTTAATTAAACTGGCACTTATCGTGTCTACCATCTAAATGCTTTGTTCCCACATCTTTTAAATGGTGATGTTTTGTAATATTATTCCAGCCCATGATGACGTATGCGTCGTCCTTTCAAGGTGTAAAGTTTGACCAACTCAACTTTTGAATGCACGCGCCCCTATAAGAAATCAGTTATTTATGGTGTCAACTTTTTGGTTTTATTTAACAGCACTACAACCACTATGACGTCATCCCATCTGAGGATTGCGGGGACTGTCGTTGCATGAATGGCAATCTGGCATGTACCAACTGTCCAGCTTAAAATCTGGCAGGTATAAGCCATATCATTAGCATAAAAATTAATTTTAGAATTTAATTATTCATGCTTAATATCTAGTTTACTTTGCGATAAACATCTACAATTCTACTTTTCAAATACTAAATGTTAATCTGAAGAATACGTTATTACAGTGGTTCTCAACCTTCCTAGTGCCGCGACCCTTCAATACAGTTTCTCGTGTCGTTGCGACCCCCAGCCACACAATTAGTTTCATTACTACTTCATAGCTGTAAAGATATGTGTTTTCAGATGGCCTTAAGCGACCCCTGGAAAAGGGTCCCGCGATCCCCAAGTGGGTCGCGACCCACAGGTTGAGAACCGCTGCGTTATTATGTTACAACGGATTAGCAATGAGCTTACACATGCAATGTACAAAAAAATAAACGAGTGGTGTTACACAAAACATCCTGATGATAGTAGTTGTAATATTTTAAACCTGTGGAATAAACTGTCAAAGATGTAACAAATGCTGATCGCAACATCGTGTTTTCTCAAAGTAGCTTGAGTCATAAGATGCCCTTGTCTTTTGTATTACTCTCTACCCAGTGGGGTTTACGTTTTAAACACACCACATAATTTTATGACATGAACAACGACGACAGTTTCACTAAGTTATTTATAGTCTTTACAAAATATGCTTATTGCTTTTTTTACATTGCCATTTTGCAAATTATTTGTTGGTAGTTGTAAAGAAAATGTGAGCTTCTTGTGAAAAAATTTCACACTTTCATCCAATTCACAGATTTGTAAGGGATGATGACGAATTCGTAATAGTTGATGACATCATCATGGGAATATACACTGAAAGACTCGCTTGAACGCTATGGAATATTTCTTTAAGATGTCTATGTCAACTTTTGAATAAATAGTGTCCTTATTAAGTTTAATAACATAATATTTTCTTGTTTGAAAATTTTGTTTATACGATATAAACTGGAAATGTTCACGAAGTTGACTTGAATTTCAAGAAAAATAAAATGTATTTCAGCCATTTACCATGATTATAATGTATAAACTGTCAAAAAGTTGGCGGTAGCATGTTGTATGACAGACGCATGAAAAAATATTGCAGCCACTTAAATCTTCAATTAGTTCTAAAACATATGCAGTCAAAGAATATTTGCAATTTCACATTTTCTTAAAATAATTTAAAAAAATATCACAAAGATATGGCACAGGCCATGCCTTGTATTTTTATATTGAACTGAAGTCTAAATTGCTTACCATGGCGACAGCCTATCACACTTAGGCAAACATTTTGGAAAAGATTGGGGACATAACGTTGTGACTAACTAAAGTTTTAGCTAAGTCCAACTTTTAACAAAAACTGTTTTACGTGATTGATGGTTGTAGAAAGGAACTTACAGGTGCAAAGCTTCTAGCCTCTGCGTGGTGCAACCGGGCTAGTACGCGTCAGTAAAGTTTGTCTTTTGCGTGGTGCTAAAGGACTAGTAAGGCTCAGTGTAGTTGGTTCTCTGAGTGGAGCTAACGGACTAGTAAGACACAGTGAAGTTGGTCCTCTGAGTGGAGTTAACGGACTAGTAAGGCTCAGTGAAGTTGGTCCTCCGAGTGGTGGTAACGGACTAGTAAGGCTCAGTGAAGTTGGTCCTCTGAGTGGTGCTACCGGACTAGTAAGGCTCAGTGAAGTTGGTCCTCTGCGTGGTGTTACTGGACTAGTAAGGCTCACCAGACGAAAAGCTCAGGCGATGCAAAACATTATGCTCGATGTCTTGGAGGAGGGGGGAGGGGGGACAGCAATATGTCCGAACCTTGTAGCACAATTGCAAGTATGATCTGTATCTAACTCTAACGTTTTCGTTAATTCCGGGGAACCAACTAGTGGAGACAACGGTCATTACCGCTTGGTTGGGGAGAGTCGACTTCAGGGACTAGTGGAGACAACAGTCATTGCCGCTTGGTTGGGGAGAGTCGACTTCAGGGACTAGTGGAGACAACGGTCATTGCCGCTTGGTTGGGGAGAGTCGACTTCAGGGACTAGTGGAGACAACAGTCATTGCCGCTTGGTTGGGGAGAGTCGACTTCAGGGTACTAGTGGAGACAACGGTCATTGCCGCTTGTTTGGGGAGAGTCGACTTCAGGGACTAGTGGAGACAACGGTCATTGCCGCTTGGTTGGGGAGAGTCGACTTCAGGGACTAGTGGAGACAACGGTCATTGCCGCTTGGTTGGGGAGAGTCGACTTCAGGGTACTAGACGAAAAGAGTGATATGACGTGTTAAATGCGGCGCAAAGGGTCGTCACCCACTAGAACCCTAAGGTTTGTACAGGTGAACGTCTGTGGAATCGGGGAAATGGAGGGGACATTACCAAGCTGCTCCACGAATCTGACGTGGACGTAGCACTTTCCCCGAGGGAACGCTACTTAATTAAGAAGTAGACATTCCATATAGCTGGCTACTCTTTTACCCACTCTAAATTTTGGCGATTGCAGAGGCTTGACAACAGCCTTTAAGTCAAGGTGATATTCCTGTTGTTATTATTGAGGTGAAGTCATATGATGACACCAACTTACACACGAAAGGAAAATTTAAGAATAATCAAAACTATATACTTACAAATATGTATAGCAAACCTAGTTAGTCGATGACCCTACCAATAGGGAACAATATGGTCGTAGAGGAGAGCATAATTTTCCTGTGAGTTCAATGGACAATCACCCGATTAGGGCTATTCATAGCGCAACGCATCAGGATGATACTTGGAGGAAATTAGTCTCACTAGCAACCTCATCCGGCTAGAAGACGAGGACAGTGCTTCCCCCTAATCCACACAGGACATAGTACAGAATTCTGGCTGGATCTGATGCCGATTTCCCTACGTAATTTGTGTCCAAACACAATCAGGTTGACTTGGAACGAGTTAGGCAGCGACCACAAGTCTATACTCAGAATACAGCAGGTTACCACCGAGGCACGCTTCGAGAAAAGGCGCTGGCAGGAAGCGAGCTGGCAGTGGTTAGAAACCGAAACTTAAGCTATGCTGGCCGTGGTCCAAGTCCAGACACCAAAATGAGTTCAATGTGAAGTGCATCTATTCACTGTCTTGCTGTGGGCAACACAGGGCTAATAGTTTTCTAAATTGATGTATTATTTTACTGTCCTGGCCACATCGCCATAAAATGAATTACCTTGTGCACTTAATACTGCTAGTCTTTTCCTTTGAAACTGTATTCCCATAATAAATAAAAATAACATCACCTGCAGCACAGAAGACATACATTTAAATATACTTTCTGCTTTTATATGTATTTTTAATAATATGTTTTCGTCCTCACACTTATTTCCCAATTTAGGACACACAGAATAATCTCACACAACCGCACAGCAGTATAGTAGCATGCACCCGTGTCCATTATAACTATATATTTTTGTATCTCACTTCAGTTTATCCAACATGAAATTATCGTGTTTTAACTCCCACTGTTACATGTAGTATGAATTCTTCTCTGGCGAGATTCTCATGATGACCACGAGAGTCATACAGAAAACTAACAGAAAACAAACCTTAAGACTGTATTGTGAAAAGCCTACAAAGGCTTTGGTAGAAAACAGGGCAAAAACAAGTAGGGGAGGCCACCAAAAAAAAATTAAAAATAAACTGCAACTCGAGCGAATGATAACTGATTGATTGCCCATGTCCGTGAAAAAATCCTTAAAGCAAAAAAAGAGACAAGTTGACGTCACAGAGGTAGGCCGACGTCGCAGAGGAAAGCTGACGTCACAGGGACAAGATAACGTCACAGGGGCAAGTCGACGTCACAGAGGCAAGCTGACGTCACGGTGGCAAGCTGACGTCACAGGGGCAAGCTGACATCACAGAGAAAAGCTGACGTCACAGAGGCAAGCTGAAGTCTCAGAGGCAAGCTGACGTCACAGAGGCAAACCGACGTCACCGAGGCAAGCCGACATCACAGACGCAAGCGGACTTCACGGAGGCAAGCTGAGGTCACGGCGGCCGGCTGATGTCATTGAGATGAGCTGACGTCATTGAAACGAGCTGACGTCACAGAGGCAAGCTGACGTCATTTAGGCGAGTTGATGTTACAAAGGCAAGCTGTGCCAAACACTAAATAGCGTTAAATTAACATTTTGCTGAGGTAGGCAAAGAAAAAACAAAGGATAGCCGGACCACCGAGCACAGCCAATAGGCAGTGGACGTTTTCATATCCTACTTTATAATTGCTGAATTGCAAACGGTTCTGAATAAATGAATGATAGGACTTGCGCTATGACTAGAGAGGCTCTTCTAATGAGAGGCCCACCCATCTGGTCTGCAAAGAGAGGCTCTTCTATTGAGATGCCCACGCATCTGGTCTGCAAAGAGAGGCGGACGCTATTATTATTATTATTATAATATGGTGGTTTTATATATAGGGCAGTATCCCAGCCGAGGGCTAGGCTCACTGCTCAGTACTTCAGCCGAGGGCTAGGCTCACTGCTCAGTAGTCCCGCCAAGGGCTAGGCTCACTGCTCAGTACACCAGCCGAGGGCTAGACTCACTGCTCAGTACACCAGCCGAGGGCTAGGCTCACTGCTCAGTAGTCCCGCCAAGGGCTAGGCTCACTGCTCAGTACTCCAGCTGAGGGCTAGACTCACTGCTCAGTACACCAGCCGAGGGCTAGGCTCACTGCGCTTCACATAAAAACTTAGCAGTTACAGAAACGTATACATTTAAAAACAAAAGGCTTGACCTCAACCACCCCAGTACTATCTACTCCTGTCAAGCCATGGACGGCACCCACCCAAGTACTATGATCTATCTACCCCTGTCATGCTATGGACCTCACCCACCCCAGTACTATCTACCCCTGTCATGCTATGGACCTCAACCACCCCAGTACTATCTACTCCTGTCAAGCCATAAACGGAACCCACCCAAGTACTATGATCTATCTACCCCTGTCATGCTATGGACCTCACCCACCCCAGTACTATCTACCCCTGTCAAGCCATGGACCTCAGCCACCCAAGTACTGTCTAACCCTGTCAAGTCATGGACCTCACCAACCCCAGTACTATCTACCCCTGTCAAGCCATGGAGCTCACCCACCCAAGTCATATCTACCCCTGTCACGCCATGGTCCTCACCCACCCAAGTACTATCTACCCCTCTCATGCCATGGAGCTCCCCCACCCAAGTCCTATCTACCCCTGTCACGCCATGGTCCTCACCCACCCAAGTACTATCTACCCCTGTCAAGCCATAGACCTCACCCACACAAGTCCTATCTACCCCTGTCAAGCCATGGACCTCACCAACACAAGTCCTATCTACCCCTGTCAAGCCATAGACCTCACCCACACAAGTCCTATCTACCCCTGTCAAGCCATGGACCTCACCCACACAAGTCCTATCTACCCCTGTCAAGCCATAGACCTCACCCACACAAGTACTATCTACCCCTTTCATGCCATGGACCTCACCCACCCAAGCATAACTACCCTTGTCAAACCATGGACCTCACCCACCAAAGTCTTCTCTACCCCTGTCAAGCCATGTACCTCACCCACCCAAGTACTATATACCCCTGTCTAGCCATGGACCTCACCCACCCAAGTACTATCTACCCTTGTCAAGCCATGGACCTCACCCACCCAAGTCCTATCTACCCCTTTCATGCCATTGACCTCACCCACCCAAGTCCTATCTACCCCTGTCATGCCATGGACCTCACCCACCAAAGTACTATCTACCCTTGTCTAGCAATGGAGCTCACCCAGCCAAGTCCTATCTACCCCTGTCACGCCATGGTCCTCACCCACCCAAGTACTATCTACCCCTCTCATGCCATGGACCTAACCCACCCGAGTCCTATCTACCCCTGTCATGCCATGGACCTCACCCACCCAAGTCCTATCTACCCCTGTCTAGCCATGGACCTCACCCACCCAAGTCCTATCTACCCCTGTCATGCCATCGTCCTCACCCACCCAAGTCCTATCTACCCCTGTCATGCCATGGACCTCACCCACCA